ACAACGAATTGCAGAGGGCGCTGCAAATATCCCGATTTTCTACCAGCAGCGAAGCACTGGTCAGGGCGCTGGAAATTGAAGCTGCTTTTAGCACCATCCCTAGACCGAAGATAAGATCGGTAACGGTCGAGGAACAGCCCGGAAGTTCTCACATACGTTTGGAGGAGATGTTTAGTAAACTATGTGAGTTACTAGTGAACAAGAGTAGCAACAACACCCAGACAGAGAACCATAGAAGATCCCAGGACATAAGGTGCTATAGATGTGGCAGGAGTGGCCACATCAAACGGGATTGCCGCGTCCAAATGCGATCCCGTTCACCATCCAGAGAACGTAGGCACCAGGAAAACTAAAATCAGTCAATACTAAGGGGCAAGTATTGACTGGGGAGAACAGAGCCCCCAGGATTTTTTTCCATTAGAAGTCTAGGAAGAACCGCTGACAGCTTGGTGATCGCCGGGAAGGTCAATGGTAGGAGAATCCGAATGACAGTGAACACTGGCGCTATGGTATCGTTGGTGCGGGCTAACTCAGTGCAAGGATTGAAGCTGATGCCTCTGGGAAGAAGAGTGTGTTTACGTACAGTTACGGGGGAAATGACCGTTAGGAAGTTAGGAAATTTGAAGTTCCAGCATAGCGTTTTAGTGGCAGATATTGAAGATGACTTCATCTTGGGCATGGATGTGATTCGTCAACATGGATTTTCGTTCGATCACCAGAGAAATATCCTGAATATCGGAAATGAAGAGTTTATGTTATCTCCAGACGAGGGACCAGGAAGAATAGATGTAAGATCAGCGGAAACTGTGGTGATACCTGGTAAAACCGAGAAGATCGTATTCGGTAAAGTGGAGAAAATCGCTGGGTGCTGTGTTGGACTGGTACAAAGTGGCGACAAGAAACAAGATAGGTACTTAGTAGGAAAATCATTGGTGAACACCGACAAGAATATACCGATCAGAATTGCGAATGTTTTCCCGAATTGTGTCAAGATCCAAAAAGGTGACAAGATAGCCATCTGCGAACCTGTAAGAAGTGTCACCCGATGTGATGAAGTGCCGTCAGCTGTTACACAAATGGCATCCAAAGAAACACTAAAACATCTAGAGCAGCCATGGGATCACCTAACATCTGAGGAGAAACAGAAGGCTAAGCAGTTCCTGCTAAAAGCATGGCAGTATTTTTGAGAAGAACAACAGTGGAAGAACGGATTTTGTGAAGCACCGGATTAATACTGGTCATGCTCAGCCGATTCGACAACGTCCTAGAAGGGTGCCCCTTTCCAAACAACAAGAAATGGAGACAATGGTAGATAAGATGCTAGAAGATGGAGTTATCGAAGAATCATCGAGTCCATGGTCATCTCCTGTTGTTTTGGTGACGAAGAAAGATGGTAGTACACGATTCTGCGTGGACTATCGGAAGCTCAATGACGTCACTAAGAAGGACAGCTACCCACTGCCACGTATAGACGACACGTTAACCACACTGGCAGGTTCGTGCTGGTTCTCCACTCTCGACTTAAAGAGTGGATACTGGCAAGTTGGTCTGGACGAGGAAGACAAAGAAAAGACGGCTTTTTCTACAGGAAACGGACTATACCAATTCAAGGTCATGCCGTTTGGATTATGCAATGCTCCAGCCACTTTCGAACGTCTCATGGAGGTGGTGTTAAGAGGATTAACTTGGAAAACGTGCTTGGTTTACCTCGACGATGTATTGGTTATGGGAAGAACTTTTGAGGAGCATTTGCGAATCTAGAAGAAGTCTTCGGCCGCATACGGAATGCTCACCTGTACTTGAACCCGAAGAAGTGTAGCTTATTCCAGCGACAAGTGGAATTTTTGGGCCATGTAGTCTCAGCAGACGGAATTTACACTGACCAGAAGAAAATCGCTGCAATCAAGGATTGGCCTAAACCTCGCGACAAACATGAACTTAGAAGTTTTCTGGGTTTATGCACCTATTACAGAAGATTTGTCAAGGGATTTGCCAATATAGCTGCACCCTTACATAGACTTACAGGTGATGAAGTCGGCTACGAATGGAACACCGATTGTGATGTAGCCTTTGGAAGATTAAGGCGGCTTTATGTTCAAGTCCTATTCTAGCCTACCCGCAACAACAAGGGAGGTATATCCTGGATACCGACGCCAGCAATATCGGCATAGGTGCAGTGCTATCACAAGTGCAAGATGGCGAAGAACGAGTGATAGAATATTACAGTCGAGTTCTATCCAAACCAGAAAGGAATTACTGCGTTACCCGGAAGGAGCTGCTAGCAATTGTGAAGGCAGTTGATCATTTTCATAAATATCTGTACGGCCAAGAATTTTTAATTAGGACAGATCATGCGGCTCTCAAGTGGCTTATGGAGATGAAACAACCTGAAGGTCAAATAGCACGATGGCTCGAGAAGCTCCAACAGTATCACTTTACCATCCAACATCGTGCTGGAAAAATGCATGGTAACGCAGACGGTTTATCCAGAAGACCCTGTCAAACCGATTGTAAGCACTGCTGTAAAACGGAACAACGTGAAGGCACTGTCATGATAAGGAGTTTTAAACTTGGAACCGATGAACAGTGGACGACGACACAATTGAGGAAAGATCAAATGGAAGATCCAGACATCGGAGCAATACTACGGCTCAAGGAAGGTAACGGCGAGAGACCACCGTGGCAGGATATTGCGGACAGAGGGCTCGTTTTCAAAGCTCTCTGGGCTCAGTGGAATTCACTGGTTATTGAGAATGGATTGTTAAAGCGCACATGGGAAAGTGCGGATGGCAGCACAGTAACAACTCAGTTACTGGTACCAAGGAAGAAAGTTACCCAGGTATTGGAAGAAATTCACGGTGGTAAAACTGGAGCCCATCTTGGGGTAAACAAGACCTTGAGCAAGCTGAGAGATCGCTTTTACTGGGTGGATTATTGCGAAGATGTCAAGAAATGGTGTCGACAATGTAAAATTTGTGCAGCCAGCCAAGGACCAAGCACTCGATCTAGGGGAAAAATGAAACAATATAACGTTGGACTGCCATTCGAAAGAATCGCTGTTGACATTGCAGGCCCATTCCCTGAAACGCACAAGGGCAACAAGTACGTTTTAGTGGCGATGGATTATTTCAGTAAATGGCCAGAAGTTTTTGCCATTCCAAACCAAGAAGCATCGACTGTAGCTGAAGTATTAGTCATAATGTCTTCAGTAGATTTGGAATTCCTTTAGAGCTTCACACTGACCAAGGAAGGAACTTCGAGTCAAGACTGTTCCAGAAGATGTGTGATCTGCTTGGTATTCACAAGACTAGGACAACAGCTTTACATCCGCAGTCTGATGGGATGGTCGAGAGATTCAATAAGACCATTGAAGAACATCTCTCGAAAATGGTGGATGAACATCAAAGAGATTGGGATCAGCATATACCACTATTCCTAATGGCATATAGAAGTGCAGTTCACAACACCACCGGACTTTCACCATCGAAGATTTTATTTGGTCGAGAATTACGGTTGCCTTGTGACTTGGTGTTCGGATCACCAGACGACAGCACCACGAACGTAGAGGACTACGCGGATGAACTGAAGGAAAGGTTATTGGGAATTCATAAGGCCGTGAGAAGTAAGATTACGCTAGCCAGTGACCGGATGAAAGCTCGTTACGACCTCAGAGCTAATTCTACGGGATTTCAACAGGACGATATGGTATGGTTATATAACCCACAGCGCAAGAAAGGGAGGTCCCCAAAGTTAACTCCAGCATGGGAAGGTCCTTATACAGTCATCAAGAGGATAAATGATGTTGTGTACCGGATTCAACGCAGCCCTAGAAGTAAGATGAAAGTAGTTCATCTGGATCGATTGAAGAGATACCAGACAGGAAACCTTGATCGGGACGATCAAATTTGAGAAGGGGGCAATGTCAAGGTGTATTACTGGTTGCATAACTGCATACTGCTAAAAATCGCATTGAGGAACCTGACGCATTCGCCAGAAAGTAAAGAAAATTATAGAATTCTTTAGAAAAATCTAGAAACAACCGCCAGGGGGTATATAAGGCCCGCGCTTTGACAGTTGGACAAGTTAAAAGTTTAAAGTTTGAAGTCTAAGTCTGAAGTTTGAAAATACCGCGAAATACCTTTAGAGTAATAGTAGTTGCATAAGTTGTGTTGTAAATAGTATAAGTTGTGTACAGAGTGAAACAAATAAATTCGTTAAGTATTTTATCGTGAGTTTAAATAGTGGACCCACGGAATCCGTAACACTACTATAATTAACCTTGTAATTGATTACTCTATTTTACTTTAATACATATTAATTTGTATTTATAAATACATCTTTAAGATTTCCGATGTAGGAATGAGTTTTCAATAATAATAAAGCACTAAATAGGTAAATTTCTGAAATGACAACTTCATTTGACAGTTATCTTTTACCTTGACTGGTGTTCATAAGTAAATACAGGGCCATAAAAAACGAGAAATATTTAAAAAGAAATCGGCGATAACTCGCAAACGAGCTAATCAAAAATATCTAAAGTTATTCTTTTGAATGTGGGTTTTAGTGCTCTTCAATAAACGTAAATAGAATTATTCTCTAAAATAATTAGGGAAGTCAATAATTGACCCCATTAAAATTTACATGGGATTTCCTATGTCCCGTCCGACGATGCAACACCCGGTATGTATATGTCAAATAATTAAATTGTCTCCTTATGGTCAAAAATATATAGCTAACAGGATATGTCTATTATAATAAACAATACAACCAGTATAGTTACACTTTTCATATTACTCATCTAAATATTTGATAACTCTGATCTCATATTAAATTCGAAAGGGTATTAAACATTTATTTTATCTGTTTGAAACGAAATTGTTCCTTTGCCATATATGAAAGTCACCTGGATAAACGGAGTCAAAAGTCTTTTATCGTGAGATGCTTATTGAGCAGACACATATTCTCGGCTATATACTTCATACCAAATTAAATATACATACCTTCTTATCGATGTAAAATACTGTTTCAAGAAATCTTCAGCTTGTTGTAACACTTCGTCTGGGGTCCTTATTTCGGTTTTTCCTTGTTGCGCCATAATACTTCCCAGACATACTTGGCTTGAGCATGGTGCCGGCTGAAAAGACAAAAGAACAGTCAGTTGTAATTTAAATGATTTTCAATTTATTTATTTTAAATATCACACCTGTATTATTTTTCAAATTACAATTACAACAGTAATGTATTTAATGTATCGTATAATAAAAAAACAGTTTTATAATCAAGTCAGAACGGACTTTGACAGTTAGAGAAATTTCGGAAAATTCTAATGTTTATCCATTAAATCGCTGGAAATTAAAGCGCACACAACGTCGTGGATATCAGCTAGTTTTGGATATTTTTTTAAACGTCGCAAAATTATATTTTTTTGTGACGCGATTGAGAATATAAAAAAGTCATTTTAAGAATTCTCATATTAAGAACTGCATTTCATTGGAATTAACATACAACTGTTTTAAACCAAAAATAATTATAGTTTCAAATTGAGTAAATCATTATTTAATATTAAGATTCCAATAATTTTATTTCAAAATTAAGTTAATATAAAAATAAAAATTGCCTCCTCTAATCGGGAGTAATAGAATTTTTAAATGGAAACTCTGACAAATATAGGAGTTAGGCAGGAATGTGTGTCCTAGCTCCTCTCCTATTCAAGATATTCATGGCAGCGCTCTCCATTATAATGGACAGCAAACTGCAAGAAAGAGGAATGAGTGTTAGATACAGGTATGACAGCGGTCTGTTCATTCATAAAAAGACTCAAGGCAAAAACACGTATAAAATTCATCACAGAACTCCAATACGCTGATGACTGCGCTCTAGTTGCAAATACGTTACAGCAATTACAGGAAATGATGAACACATATACGTGGGCATACGAGACTTTGGGCCATAAACTGAACATCGATAAAACTAAAATCATGTGCACCCCCCGGAAAATCAACAATATCTTGACGATTTGAACTGGCGCGCGAATGAAGAAATGCGTGCGGTCTTCTCGTGCGGTTCTATCGTGCGGTCCCCGTCCATACCACTAGCGTACGTTCGTTCGTTCGTTCGTTCGTTCGTGCGGATAATGAATACGCACCTTTAGACAACTGTTAAGAATCAAATGGTAACCACCATGTCTCAAACGTATCAGTCCTTCAAAAAGCAAGCTGTGAAAGCGCTGAAGTCATGATTACTACATCTCGCTTAAGATGGGCTGGCCACGTATGCAGGATGAAAGAAAACCGCCTACCGAAATCTCTTCTTTACGGTGAACTTGTAGAGGGTAAGAGGAAACCGGGTGGACAACTCAAAAGATACAAGGATGTTTTTCATGAAAACTTAAAGGGGATAAGTATGCAGCATAAGTGGGAGGAAGCAGCGCACAATAGAACGCAATGGAGGGGAATTGTAAATTCAGTTTTTCAGTCAACAAAAGTAATTTTTTTAAGTAAGTTAATTTTTTCAGTCAACAAAAGTAAAGAGGCAAAAAAGTAATGAGATTTTTGAATGTCCAGAGTGTGGAAGAGAGATAACATCACGTATCGGACTTTTCAGTCACAGAAAAGCTCATGACAGGAAACGCCTTGCGTAACCATCTTCTGATGCGTGTCAAATACTCGTCAGCGAGTAATGGCAGTAGTAGTAGTAAATGGAAACTTATAAATTTATCAAACTAAAATTGTTAACTTCAAATAAAGATATTTCTTGAGAAAATGCGTTTAAATTTACGAATATTTTTAATTGTATCATTTTTGCTTAAAATGAAATATGCACTCTAAATTCAAGCAAATCAGTTTGAAGATATTAGTATACTCAATCTAAGACATTGTTTTTTTCTGTGTGTGAAAAAAGGTTCAAAATTTGCAAAGGAAGGTGTTCTTTATATCTTAGAAATCATGATAGAAAAAAATCAAAGTTAGTTTCTCCAAGGACGCCATATGGATATGTAAAATTCATCAAAAAGTGTTTAAATGAGGCCAAAGCAGTTTTTGGATCGAAATCAGGCCATTAATATTTAGTTACATTTTTTTTTCATCTTTAAAATTTTAATAAATGGCTATGTTTTACATAGTAGGTACTAATATGACATCCAAATTATTATTTTGTAAATGTTTCTTATCAAAAATTAATTGGGGTAACGGTAGGTTAAAGAAATGTTTTACGAAATATCTAAAGCGTCAAGAGAAAATAGAATATTTTACGAACTAAATAATATTTTTAATAATGTCTGTACTTTATGGGGGGTTAGTTTTTTCAAAAAAACATTAATAGTAAATCAAAGTAAAAAAAATAGTAAATATACGCAATTAATATACCTTTTCCGGTCAATTTACTTCATTTAAGAGAAACATTGAAACGATTTAAAAGTGCGCTACATCTTCTTTAAAGTTTGACGTGAGAAGCTATTCTGAAAATGAGGCAGGCATTTTATCTTTCCGGCTGGGAAAAATTATCCCGAGAAAGTGAGAAACAAGTTCTACATTTATCGTTGAAAATTGTTTCTTTTTAATTTATCACATTAGAATTTACAGTAGGAAGTTCTAGCAGCAGAATAACACAAAATGAAATAAATTAAACAACAAAAATAATTTCGTATAATATGTTTTAAAATACACAGAGTATTATTTAGGTACGTAGCCATAATTAAGTGGGTGAATTTTCTGAATCATTGATTTTAAGGCAAAAAGCTTATACAGGGTGAGTTTTAAATAAGTGCAAATATTTTTTCAGGGCTTGCAGATCTCGATAAAACAAACATATTTTCTCTTCACTGTTTTTCAAATAAGTTCAAAATAACGTAATAAAGTTATTTTACTTTAAAAATATAAAAAAACTGATATTTTTTGCTTAAATTTTGAGAACCACTGTATTTTTTCTGTTTTTTTTTTCATGTAAATTTAATCTACTACCTATGTTGTTATACAGGGTCGCTGTTATGTATGGAAACGTTCGATTAATGGGTAAAATATACGAGGTACCGCAAAAAGTTGAATATAAAAGTTACAGGGTTTTTAAATGTCTATTGGCGAGTTATAAATTTAAGTATACAGGGTCGGGTATAAAGTCGTGGTATATCAAAATTTCTTTTTTAACTGGAACTCCCTGTATATTATTGCATAATTCAATTCTGCCTTCAATTCTAAGCAAAAATCGAAATACACACAATGTACCTTAAACCAACAATTTCGGAGTTATTGGCTTTTGAAAATATCACTTAAGCAAATCGATTTAATTAAATTCGATGTATTCGGTTTCATTTAATAATGTCATTCTGCGGAAACGGTGATACTTTATAATATTTCACATTAGTTTTCAAGTTAGCATTTATAGATGTATAAAATTAGATAATATCAAGTCTGGAAATTAAAAAAAATGGCGCCGGGAAGCACGTATAGCCGCCCCTCGAGCCGCCCATACTAAAATATGTTAATAAAAAGTTGGTAGGCAGTTCTTTTAGTTTCAAAGTAAAGGAATTTTTCCAATTTTTTTTTATCTCAAAAACTGCGACTTTGACTGATTTTGATGTTATTACAAATTTTGTTGCAAATATTATTCCTAATCTTAAATTGAAAATCGCGTTTCGCTAGTTACTGTAATTTTGGAGTTACGATTTTTTAAAATGTTTAACCCCCTCCCATACTCCCTTACCAACCCCCCACCCCCACCAAAAACTAATGGCCAGATTCTCGGGTGCCACAGTATTTTTGTGCCAAATTTGGTTAAAATCGGTTTAGCGGTTTTTGAATTATCGTGTTACAGACGGACAGACAGACACCATGAAATTATTTAGTAATAACTCATTTTGAGTGAAATTAAAAAAAAACTTTTTTTTTACCGATCTTAATAGCCTACCGTACCTGACTATTGGTATGGTCGGCTAAAAATAATCAAAAATAATCTTTGAGGTGCCACGACTTAATGACCGACCCTGTATACTTAAATTTAGTACAAGATGTTAGGCAATTAAATCCTATAACTTCTGTATTTAACTTTTTGCGGGACCTCGTGTACTTTGTCCAATAATCGACCGTTTCCATACATATCAGCGACCCTGTATTATGTGTTTTAATTAAAAAATAAAAAAAAATCCAAAAAGTTTTTCAAAAATTTCCAAATTTTCAAAGAAAAATTTTCGCGAAAAAAACTCATAGGATTATGTGTTATCTGTGCTCATAGACGTGTTTTATGGGGTCGAAATATACTCCCTAACAATATTTGCACTTATTTAAGATTCACCCTGTATAAACATAGGTCCAAAAATGCTTCGTTTTCTTTAAACAGAATGCCAAACTTTTAAACTATTTTTTCTCGTATTTTTATTCGGATTAGAAACCAAAAATAAAACTTTAAGTATTACCTTTTTATCTTTGTTTCCTATCTCGATTCATTTTCAAAATATATAGTTAAAACCGTTCTATTGCGTGCCCTAGGGCCAACACAATAATAAATTAAAACTCCCAAACTATTAAAAACTGGACTGTGGTTTTTTTTATTTTTTCAACTTCAATAGTCTATCTCGTCTTGAAAACTATTATAAAATTTAATGCCAGCTATAAAAATGTTTTAATTATTAAAATTATTTTTATTATTCTATATGGGCCATGTACTTTTATTGTCATTATGAAATTATAATTACAGACAAAAAATTAGTTTGTATTTTTATCTCGAAAATAAGGCAAGATACAAAAAAATTAAAAGGAAAAAAGAATTGTATTCATCCGAAGGAAATAAAAATATTAAAAAAGTCGGGGTTGCACAAATTTTTTTATTGGTTAGTAGGTATATATTATTAGAGTACCTTTCGAGATGCCATTAGACTTAATAATTTTAATTAATTTTTATAATTAGGATTAAATTAGCCTTTTACTGCTCAACTGCAATATTGTTTACATATACAGGGTGTTTTAATATTCCGTGGACATTACTGCGTATTTTTAGAATGAAAATAAGTTCATTCGACACAATTTACCTCTATACAATAGTGCTTCGTTTGTCCGTTAGAGGTCATCAAACTTTAAAAAAATATACACATTTCTTCAGGTATTTTAAGAACCACTATTCTGATTTGAATCAGATTTTGTTCTT